TGGGATCGAGTCCCACGTTGGGCTCCCTGCATGGAGCCTGCTCCTTCCTCTGCCTGTGTCTCTGCCTCTCTCTGTGTCTCTCATAAATAAATAAATAAAAATCTTAAAAAAAAATGAAGGACAGGTAAGGACTTTCTCAGACAAACACAAGCTGAGGGAGTTCACCACCGCTATATCTGCCTTACAAGAAATGCTAGAAGAAGTTCTTCAAGCTGAAAGGAAAAGATGCTAATTAGTAAAATGAAAGAATATGAAAATATACAACACACTGATAAAGGTAAACAGAGAATTGGGGCACCTGGCTGGCTCAGTCGGTAGAGCATGTGACTCTTGATCTTGGGTTTGCGAGTTTGAGCCCCTTATTGGGTGCAGGGATTAGTAAAAACAAAAAATGAAGTGAAAAAAAATGTAAACAGAGAATCAAATTCAGAATACTTTATTTTTATTTATTTATTTATTTATTTTAGAATACTTTAATACTGTAACATGTAGTGTGTTAATCACTTAGCTCTAGCATAATGGTTAAAGGATAAGAATATTAGAACTATAGCCACAATAATTTGTTAATAAATACGCAATATAAAAACAGGTGAACTATGACATCAGAAACATAAAGGGGAGTGGGAAGTAAAAGAGTAGGGTTTTTTTTTAAAGATTTATTTATTTATTTATTCATAGAGACAGAGAGAGAGAGAGAGAGAGAGAGAGAGAGAGAGAGAGAGGCAGAGGGAGAAGCAGGCAGAGAGAGAGAGAGAGAGAGAGAGAGAGAGAGGCAGAGGGAGAAGCAGGCATCATACAGAGAGCCTGACGTGGGACTTGATCCCAGGTCTCCAGGATCACGCCCTGGGCTGCAGGCAGTGCTAAACCGCTGCGCCACGGGGGCTGCCCGAGTAGGGTTTTTATATGGGATAAAAATTATCAGCATAAAATAGACTGCTATATCTTTAAGATGTTTTAATTAAACCATATGGTAACCACAAAGCCAAAAAACCTGCAGTAGAATCATAGAAGATAAAGGGAAGGGAATCAAAGCATTCCACTATGGAAACTCATCAATTTACCAAAGAAGATAGGAAAAGAGGGAGAAAGGAACAAGGGAATTGCAAAATAATAAGATGGTATTAATTTGCCCTTAGTTATCAATTTTTCATTTTCAGAGAAAGAGTGTGCTTCTATGCACCTGTGCACAAGAGCTGTTGAGGAGGGGCAGACGGAGAGGGAGAGAGAGAGAATCTTAAGCAGGCTTCATGCCCAGCCCAACATGTGGCTCGATCTCATGATCCTGAGATCATGACCTGAGCCAAAATCAAGAATCAGATGCTTGACTGACTGAGCCACCCAGGCTCCCCTAGTTATCAGTAATTTAAAGGAAATGAATTAAATTCTGCAATCATAGACACAGAGGCTAGATGGATAAATAAGATATATATATATATATATATATATATATATATATATATATATACTCTAAGAGACTCACGAGACTCACTTCAGTTTTAGGGACACACATAGGCTCTGGGTGAAGGGTTGAGAAAAGATACTCTACACACATGTAAACCAAAAGAGAGCAAGGGTTGCTATATTTAATCAAACAAGGTAGACTTTCAGCCAAAGACTATGAAGATCATTCTATAATGAAAAGGGATAAATTCATCAAGAATATATACCAATCGTAAATATATATATATATCCCCACCTTGGAGTTCCTAAATATAGTAAGCAAATAGTAACGGAAATGGACAATATAACAATAGTTGGGACTTCGATATATCCCACCTTCAGGGATGGATAGATCGTGCAGAGAGAAAATCGATAATGAAATGTTGGCCTTGAACCCCGCTTCACACCAAGTGGAACCTAACAGACATTGACTGAACATTCTCTCCAACAGCGACAGAATATACATTCTGCTCAAGCACACGAGGAACATTCTAGGTCACGAAACCAGTCAGCAAACCTGGGATTGAAATCATATCAAATAGTTTTACAACCACAATGATACGAAACCGGAAAACAAAATAGGGGGAAAGCTGCAAAGTCTACAAACATGCAGAAATTGAACAGTACACTTCGGAACAACCAGTGAATCAAAGGAGAAATCGAAAGGGAAACTTTAAAAAAATCTTGAAACAAACGAAAATGGAAACACAATTTACCAAAACCTATGGGATGCAGCAAAAGTGGTTCTCAGAGAGAAGCTTACAGTGATAAATGCCGACATTAAAAAAAAAAAATCTCAAATAAACAGCCTCATTTTATACTTCAAGGAGTTAGAACAAGAGCACATGAAAGCCTGAAGTTAACATAAGGAAGGAAATAACAAAGATCAGAGCAGAAATAAATGAAACAGAGGCCAGAACAATAATAGAAAAGATCAACAAAATGAAGAGCTGGCGTATTTATTTTCATTTTTTTTTAAAAAAAATTGAATATAGCTGCACACATAAGAGCTGGAGCTTTGAAAAGATAAAATCGACGAACTTTTACTTTTAGCTGGGTTAATTAAGAAAAAGGAGAGCAGACTCAAGAACGAAAGAGGAGACAGTAAAACTGATACCCCAGAAATACAAGGGATCATAAGAGAAGAAAGTGAACTTGAAATAACTGGGGGGAAGAAACAACGAAACTAGAGTGATGACTGCCACCTACTGAGCACATCCGGGACCTGAGAATTGGCACGATGCTAAGACACAGAGTAAGAAATATCTGCAAGGTCACTGGGCTAGTCCTCTGTGGAGACGGATGCAGGGTGAGTAGGTCTATCTGACTCTCTCCTTTTTCCCAAACTTCGGGCATTTGCACAACACAGCGTGCTTTATGCTGGGTCTCAGCCCACCTCAACTCTTACAGCTGACCCTTGAGTAACGAGTTGGAACTCTGTGGGTCCACTTACATGCGGATTTTTTTTCAATAAGTACAATGCAGTCCTGCAGATTTATTTCTTTTCTTTATGACTCTCTTAATAACATTTTTTTAATGGGACGCCTGGGTGGCCCACTGGTTGAGCGTCTGCCCCTGGCTTGGGTCGCGATCCTGGGGTCCCACATCAGGGTCCCCGCAGGGAGCCTGCTTCTCCCTCTGCCTGTTGTCTCTGCCTCGCTCTCTCTCTGTGTCTCTCATGAAAAAACAAATAAAATCCTAAAAAAAAATAAGGCTCTCTTTTCTTTAGCTTTATTGTAAGAATAGGGTAGATAATACAAATAACGTACAAGATATGTGTTCATCACCTATTTGTTATCCGTGAGGCTTTTGGTCAATAGTAGGCTATTAGTAGTTAAGTTTTGGGGGAGTCAACAGTTATCTGTGGGATTTCTACTGCATGGAGAGTCGACATCTCTAACCCCCACGTTGTTCAAGAGTCAACTGTATTAATGTATTTCTTCAAATTGATTCAGTGTCTTAAAAATACCTTAAAGGCATTTATTTTTATTTATTATTATTATTTTTATTTTTTTTACATTGGTTTTTAAGTTCAATTTGGCATTTATTTTTATTTTTTATTTTTGGGGGTATTATAAATTTTATTTTATTTTATTTTTTTATTTTTATAAATTTATTTTTTATTGGTGTTCAATTTGCCAACATATAGAATAACACCCAGTGCTCATCCTGTCAAGTGCCCTCCTCAGTGCCTGTCACCCAGTCACCCCCAGCCCCTGCCCTCCTCCCCTTCCACCACCCCTAGTTCGTTTCCCAGAGTTAGGAGTCTTTATGTTCTGTCTCCCTTTCTGATATTTCCCACTCATTTTTTCTCCTTTTGGCATTTATTTTTAAAAAGGAAACTCGGGGTGCCTGGGTGGCTTAGTCAGTTTAAGTGTCCGACGCTTGATGTCAGCTTGGGTCTTGATCTCAAGGTTGTGAGTCCAAACCCTGCACTGGGCTCTGTGCTGGGTGTAGAAGCTACTTAAAAGGAAACCTTACATGGGGATCTATACAATTTGCCGTGTGGAGAAGACAATTGAAATAGTAAATATGCTAAAGGGGCCCCTGGGTGGCTCAGCTGGTTAAGTGTCTGCCTTCAGCTCAGGTCATGATCCCACAGTTCTGGAACTGAGCCCCGTATTGGGCTCCCTGCTTCTCCCTCTACCCCTCCCCTGCTTGTGCTCTCTCTCTCTCTCAAATGGTTAAATAAAATCTTTAAAAAATAAAATCTTTAAAAAACAGAATGTTACCTAATTCTAGCTAGAAATATTGCCTGCAGAGGTGTCTGGACCCGAGGTCTGTTTTTTTTCTTTTTAAAAAGAGATTATTATGCTGTGTTGCTAGAAGTTAGAGCCTTACTAGCGTGAAACTGAACAGAAGCTTTCCTGTCGTCGGCACGTACCGCTCTTACCTTGAATACCCGCAATAGCAATGGTCCTACACTTGGGGAACACTTGCCTACACGGTTTCTTTCCTCTCTGCATCTATGAGACACACGCGACTCCTATGCAGTCCTGCGTATTGCGTGTCTGGGGCAGGGGAAGGCTTCAAATCCTATGTTTATTGCTAGCAATCAAATCAAATTAGATGATTATTGTTGTCTATAATGTTTTAGATTTTATAGAACATTTTCACATACTTTGCTGTATCTAGTTTCATTATCATCATACGGATAACGTATAGCTGGGCCCATTCAGATTTCTGGTTGCCGTCCAGCTGGGTGAACCAGATGTTGCAGCAATTGTGAGTTTACTTCATACTGATGCATTGGTTTTCTTCCAGACAACTCAGCATCTTTTCAGGCACGGGTTCTTATTTTATTCTCCCCTGCGTTCCTTCCAGATGGGAGGCACAGGTAGGTATCCCTCTGCTGTAAAACGGGGGAGAGCAGGACTTGAAGCTGTGACTTCACTGAGGCTTACCCAGGGGTTCGGAGGCAGGGCCAGGCTAAAATTATGTTTCCAGGTAATTAAGGAACCAAAGAGACATCACAGCTTTTCGGGTATGTTGTAGACTGTGGTGGGGGTGTCTGGATTTTCAAAGCCACCGGCCTTCTTTGCTCCCGCCACCCCCTGCAGAGTGCATGGCCTGGAGGTCGAGGGCAGGGACTGTGGAGAGGCTGCGGCCCAGTGGATAACTAGCTTCCTGAAGACGCAGCCCTATCGCCTGGTGCACTTCGAGCCTCACCTGCGACCGAGATATCCTCACCAAATGATGGACGTGTTCCGGCCCACAGACCAGGTCAGAGGAGCCTCCCTTGGCTTTGGCCTTTGGTGTGTCCAGGCTTTGTCAGAAATGCAGGGCCCATCAGGCAGGGCAGCCTGTCCTCTGAGCTCCGCTCTGTCATTTTGCCAGGCAGCTCCCAGGCAGCTTGGGATTATGAATAACAGGCAAAAGTAAAGCCCTTCCTTTGGGGGCTTCATCTGTGCTTCCTGATTTGGGGGACTCTTGCATTTTGACCATGGCCATCTACCTTCCTCGTTATGTAAGGCGTCCAGTGCCTACAGGGCTTCACAACTGTTCTGCGTCTGGATCTTTTCCACACTATTCTGTAATTGAGTGTGGAGTCCAACCTTTGTACCGTGTGATTGCAATTGCCGGGTGACAGGTGGACAAGGGAGTGTGAGTATGGAGATGCACAGACTTAAAGTGGTCAGGTTGGCTCTTCCAGGAAGAAGGCTGCAAGGGTTCATCATAAAAGGAGGGTTGGTAGCACAATGCTGTGGCCATTAAAAAAAAATTACATAAATGATCAGTAAATGGACTGGATGTTGATATGCAGGTTGCATAAAAAATAGGTGTCCATGGAATCAGTGAGTATTTTTTATCACCTGTATTGAGGCCATCAAGCCCATCAATCTTGGGGAAGTTGAGGCAGAGGAAGGTGGAGTGGCTTCCTTAAGGGCACTGGCAGTGGCAGCTCTCGATCCCAAGGCCATGTTGTCCTCATTCCATCACATAATTCCTGTCTGCAAGGCTACTTATGACTTCTGAACTACTCTCATTTTTCTATATAAAGAACTAAAGAAATATTTAGAAATATTGTGTGTATGTGTGTGTGTGCGTGCGCACATGCAGGTGGAGGGAGGAGAGGGTTCCAGGAACTAGACACACGTGACTTCTGTGTGCCGTGTTCTAACCATTTCTATTTCCTTACCAGATTGCGTATGCAGATGCCAGCCCATTCTTGGTCCTTTCTGAGGCATCGTTGGCAGATCTCAACTCCAGGCTGGAGAAGAAAGTTAAAATGACTAACTTCAGGCCCAATATCGTGATTTCAGGATGTGATGCATATGCAGAGGTAGTACGATGCTTTCCTTGTCCCTTTCTTAGGATTTAACTATTTATTTATTTATTTATTTATTTATTTATTTATTTATTTATGATTTTATTTATTTATTCATGAGACACACACAGAGAGAGAGAGAGAGAGAGAGAGAGAGAGAGAGAATGAGAGAGAGACAGGCAGAGATACAGGCTCCAGGCAGGGAGCTCGACGTGGGACTCGATCCCAGGTCTCCAGGATCAGGCCCTGGGCTAAAGGTGGTACTAAACAGCTGAGCCACCTGGGCTGCCCCTTAACTTTTTTTTTAAAGAAAGATTTTTTTTATTTAATCAAAGCGAGAGTGAGAGAGTGCACGAGTGGGGGGTGGGCAGCGGGAAAGGAGAAGCAGATTACCCGCTGAGCAGGGAGCCCAACGTGGGACTCGATCCCAGGACCTTGGGATCATGATCTGAGCTGAAGGCACATGCTTAACAGACTGAGCCACCTGTGCACCCTGGGTTTAGTATCTTTTTTTTTTTTTTAAGGGATAAGAGTCTCTGATGTGCATTAGGTTTTTCTGAAGGATTCATTAATTATTGGTTGTATGCTAGACAATTCAGAGTTTTGATTTCTTGAGCATCTAATCAGTGCAGACTTCCGTACGGAGGCACCAATAAAAATGACAGTGCTGGTGTCAGGGGGAAGCTCTGGGTCTGAGACTTCTCAGGACGGTTCCCAGTAGAGTGGTTTTTGAGCTAAATTTGTGTCGCATAAAAGACATGATGCGTGTGGGCCATGGATCAAAGGCAGGGTGTGTGCACGTCTTGCTGAAGTTGGCTTTCCTATTCAATTGATGGTCCCAGGAGATGACATGTACAGTTTGGCTGCTGAGGGGTGGGAGTGGAGTCCCCACGCCGGATGGCACGACTCTAAAATTCTCCCAGTGCCACCTTCGACCTGGCCTCAGATGTCTGCACACTTGGGCTCGGTGCCAAGGGCTTCCACTATGCCACGTGATGCTGGCAGCAGGTTTTCCTTTGTCACCATCCTTGGATATTCCATTGGTTCTTTCCCTTGTCAACTGTGAAGGCAGAGGTTGGTGGCCTGGGGTTTGGTGAGCGATGACCACCCAGCTCTGGGTACCCGACCGAGGCACGGGCTCTCAGATGGGAATTCCAGAGTTCTGGTGGTGCACGCAGGTAGGTGGAAAGTGGAGGAACTGAATCCCCCTGACTGAGCTCGCCTCCCTTATGCTCGGGGGAACGGATCCCGCCCTTCAGACTGGCTGTGAGGGGCAGCAGGTGTGCTGCAAGAAGCGGTCTAGGAGTTTGAAGCCCACTGTCAAACCCGAGGCCCTGAGGCCTACCCTCAGCTCCCTGGCTGGCCTCCGAAGGACTCTGTGCATCCCTCCAAGGCTCCCTTACCTGCCTGGAGAATGGGGTGACCCTTTCTGCCTAGGATTACCTTATAGGTTTGTTAAAGGATCTGTTTGGCTAAGGTAGCTTAAGGTAGCCATGTCAGCCAGTGGAGGGCAACACGGTACCCCCACATCACCTTTGACGTTTTACTTGAACCACCCTGAAGCCTAGGGTATCTTCCAGAGACGGCAGGTCAGCTCCCAGCGTGAGCTGTGCCCAGAGCCTGCACTGGGCTGTCTCTCCGTGTTCCAGAGCTCGTCTGCTCTCACTCACCTCCAACACGGTTCGGCCCAGCTCACGTGAGAGGGGAAAATCAGTGTTGGTTGCCTTTGGCCATCTCACCAAAGTTGGTCTTGGACAGTTGTGGCCAGAGAAGCTGTTTCTCCAGAGGGGTTTCCTTGTGGGGGGGGCGGGAGGTGGGGAGAGAGGGGTCTGGAAGGTTTCCCTTTAATGCTCACGGTGTGCTTTGTAGCCCCAGGAGGTGAAAGTCACCATTCCTGTTTTAGGAGGGGGAAAGGAGAGGCCTGGGGAGGTGACCTGGCTTGCCCCAGGCTACCCTGTGGCAGGAAGTGGAGGAGCTGGGTCTTGAACTCAGACTGTACCAGGGACCAAAGGAACTCAGAGCATTGGAGGGGGCATGCATGAGGATGGGGCACCTGGATTTGAGTCCACCTGCTTCTATTAGGGGCAGTGTGACTGTGGACAAGACCTTGCACCCCTTGAGGCCTCTGCTCCTTGCAGTTAGAACATGCAGATGATTTCAGCCGGCTCCTCCCCTGATGGCAACTGTAAGAATCAAGGCCGATTCTTGGACATAGAAAGTGTCATAGAGCAGTGGGGGATGGTTTCTGTCCTACAATCAGAGTGACCAGGGGCCTGGCTCAAGCATTCCCCCAAATGTGACCGGCATTTTTTTTTAAGATTTTTTTATTTATTTATTTATTATTTATTTATTTATTTATTTATTTATTTATTTATTTATTTATCTATTTATGAGAGACACCGAGAGAGGCAGAGACACAGGCAGAGGGAGAAGCAGGTTCCCACAAGGAGCCCGATGCGGGACTCGATCCCAGGACCCTGAGCCGAAGGCAGACTTGCAACCGCTGAGCCACTCAGGTGCCCCTGTGACCGACTTTAAATCGTCACAGGCGATCCTTGTGCCCTGGGTCGTGTGTCCTACCGCGAAGTTCCAAGATGGTCATAATTGGATGACATTGAGTGGGAAGGACCTACCCAGAGTAGGACCTCTGATTTAGACTGGTTTGCCCTGCATCTTGTCCTAGAAGCCCTCGTTTCCAACTCTGAGCTCCCCCTAACTGGGAACATTTCACATTTTCAGTCGGATGTCCTACAACACTGGCAGAACGCACGTTGTACTAGTGTGTCACCTGCGCACTGTGAGTTGGTCCCCCTGCGGCCTGTGGCCTCTGGATAGAGGCGTGGGCAGCACGGTTGCTTCTGCGGAGATCACAGTCCTGGGTGGTCAGGTGGTGAGCAGGCCAGCGAGGCAGGCCGGGAGGGCGGTGAGCGCAGGGTGTTAGGTGGCCCGGGGGTGTTCCTGACCCAGACTGGAGGGGACGTGAGGGCCACCACGGGTCTGCTCGGGCTCAGGCCCCAGACCCCATCACATCTCTGGCTTTCCTTATGGTGGAATGTTTTTTTTTTTTTTTTTTTTACCTTATTTATCTTTTTTAAAATTTTTTTAAAAATTTTTATTTATTTATGATAGTCACAGAGAGAGAGAGAGAGAGGCAGAGACACAGGCAGAGGGAGAAGCAAGCTCCATGCACCGGGAGCCCGACGTGGGATTCGATCCCGGGTCTCCAGGATCGCACCCTGGGCCAAAGGCAGGCGCTAAACCGCTGCGCCACCCAGGGATCCCTACCTTATTTATCTTGACTCAATCCTCAGCAGTTGCTAGTGCCCATAAAAGGGGCTCTGGAAATACTTCTTTAATTAATAAGTTAATTTCTTAACCAGAACCTACATTTCTCTTTTGTTTTTCATGACCGTAGTGCCCCCTGGTGGGCAAAATGGGCTGGGGCTGCCCTAATCCAGGTGACCAGCTTTTTGGACCATTGTGACACCTGCAGTTAAGAGAACTTTTTATTTTATTTTATTTTATTTTATTTTATTTTATTTTATTTATTTTATTTTATTTATTTTTAAATTCTATTTTTATTATTACTTTATTATTTTATTTCATTTTGAAATTTATTCTTAAAATTTTTCTTTACTTATTCATGAGAGACACAGAGAGAGGCTGAGACACAGGCAGAGGGAGAAGCAGGCTCCCTGTGGGGAGCCCGATGTGGGACTCGATCCCGGGACCCTGGGATCATGACCTGAAAGGCAGATGCTCAACCACTGAACCACCCAGGCGTCCCGAGACCCATTTTATGATTAAACACTGCAACTTATAGCAAGAATGATACATCTCAGAGTTAAAATTCTGAGTCTGCAAGTCTCTGGCTTGTGACCAACAAAGGAGTGGGTGGGTTGGTTTTAATTCAAGAATTTTTGTCTTAAGCCCTCGGGCAGCTGGCACTTCTCTCCCGGGGTAAGAAGTTCAAGACTATGATCAGATGTCCTTTGTCTCCTGAGTGTCTTCCTTCTAATTATTCCGAGTCTTCTCACCCTTCTTTTGTGCCTTCCAAAGTCTCTGTTCTGGAAGATTCCATTCAAATCCTATCTTTTCCGTAAAACCTGCCCTGACCAGACCAACCTGAGGCTTTGTTCCCCTAAACCTCCAGATCCATTCTTGCTTGTGCAGGTAAACCTACAGCAGGGCTTTCTCTCAGAATTTCTGAAACTTCAGAAAACATCATGATCATTAGCTTTTCCTATCTCCCCTGATGGCAAGTCCATCGATTTGATTTGTCCCGAAAAGTAGGCACCAGTGACCTAGGCTGTGGGCAAATGCCCGAGGAGCCCCCTGGGCTGGAGCACTTTGTTCCCAGGCGAGTGGGGATGCAGAGAGAAGGGCATTGGGATCTAAATCCCCCCCGAGGCATGCACAGTGTAGACTGATCCCCCTCCACACACCGACTCTCTCTCTGTCATCCACACCCCCTATCAGCCTGACCCTTCCATTCCCACCCCCCACCCCACTCCACTGGCATCCCTCAGGGGAAATTTGGCCAGTGAGAGCAGAGGGAGCACTGCCCTTTGGGAAGATGAGCTGACATGTCACAGGCAGAGAGGGGACCAGAAGGTGTGTGGCTTCTCAGGGTCCATGTCCTCAACTGCCATCTTTGGCCTAAGTGGCTTTGTTGGGGATGCACCTCCCGTGGAGTCCCTACCCAGGTGTGTGTGTCAGCCCCAGGGCTTGGAAGCGCTCATGTGAATTTTGTGCTTTGTCCCCCAGGATTCATGGGATGAGATTCTTATTGGGGACGTGACACTGAAAAGAGTAATGGCTTGTTCTCGGTAAGGAGCTTCCACCTGGCGGGGTGGGGGGCAGGGTCAGTCGGCGTTGTCCCTCGTATGATGCTCTGTGTGTGTGCGTCCAGGTGCATTTTAACCACGGTGGACCCAGACACCGGCGTCATGAGCAGGAAGGAGCCGCTGGAGACCCTGAAGAGGTGAGTCTGGGCCGCTTGATCTCTGCAGTGAAAACACCAGGGACACACAGTCTGGGAGCTGCAGGGGGTCCTAGTGACGGGGTAACCTGGGCGGGGTCCCTGGCTGCCATGCTTGTGAGGACGCCTGGCTGCACAAATAATTTTATTTCTCGTTTAGAATTCACGATTCAAACAGACCAATTTAAGAAATGCATTGCTTAGGTATTTTGGCGAATTATATATATTATGATGCTACCAACCGCTGGGCCACCCGAGTGGCGTCCCGAGTAAAGCAGATTTTAAGCCTAGGGCCTGCCTGACACGCCAGCTGAGCTGTTCAGAGGTGAAGTCCCCTGATGTCTGTCACTTATTTGAAAACACTTGAGGGCAGCCTGGGCGGCTCAGCGGTTTAGCGCTGCCTTCGGCCCAGGGCGTGATCCTGGAGACCTGGGATCGAGTCCCACATCGGGCTCCCTGCATGGAGCCTGCTTCTCCCTCTGCCTGTCTCTGTGCCTCTGTGTGTGTGTGTGTGTGTGTGTGTGTGTGTGATGAATAAATAAACAAAAAATCTTTAAAAACAAAAACAAAAAACACTAGAAAATGATAATTGATGGCTAGACAAAGGTAGGATAAAGGAAATACAGTCAAGTGTTAGGTGTAGGGTCCAGGCGGTCGGTAAGTGGATGTTTGCTACAAAGCTCGGCTCGTCTGCGTGTCTGGGAGGCCTCATACTGCGGCGTGTGCTGGAACAGCAGTCAGGGGAGCGGGGCTTTGAGAAGCAGCAAGGCCCCGCTGGCTGTTGCTCCAAGTGCTCTCACTCTTTCAGCGTCAGGACGAAGCAGAATCTGCTCTTGCTCCTTCCTGGGGCCACAGAGGCGGGAGGAGGCCGGGGGGACTCAGGAACCCGGGCTCTGCTGCCCACTCTTGAGCTCCTCAGCAGGTGGGGGTGTTTGTCCCCCTGAAACGAGGCAGGTAGGACAGATCTGGGTGATTCTGTGTGCAGACCAGCTGGGTGCTTTTGGGGACCGACCAGCACCGAAGGGTGATGCTCCTCGGTGCCTGCGGCCCCTTCCCTCAGGAAGTGCCTCTGCCGCCAGGAATAGCTTCCTGAAAGCCTTCGTGTTTCCATCCATCCTCTGACTTTTTAGGACTCGCCTCCCTGGGAAGCCGTGTTTGTGGGATGGGGACGAGTGACCCCAGTGCAGAGTGAGGGCCAGCAGGCGGGGGGCGCAGCACAGCTCCCCTGATCTTCTGCGGGCCCTCTCCTGGCCAGTGGTCACCCCCACTGGCTCCTGACACCCCAGGAGACGCAGCAGCTGGCCCAGGTGTACTGTCCTGTCTGCTCCGGGGATGGAGATGGCCAAGATGCAGTAATCTCTGTGCTCTTGGGGACAGGTGGCTGAGAGAGGCCCAGCCCCCTGACATAAGTCACGGGAAGTGAAGCAAACTGTGGTGGCCAGAAGACCTTCCCCACTCTCGGGCAGGTTGCTCGGAGCCAGTTTGCATTTTCCCGTGTCCTCGGGTGCCCAGGGCTGTGAATGCAGCTTCTCGGCAGGGAGACCTCTGCCAGCCTGACCTAGTGAAGCCTGCGGAGGCGTCCCCCTTGCAGAGGGGCAGGAGGGCAAAGGGCACGAGGGCAAAGCAACGAGGGGAAGAGAAATGCGTCTGGCTCCACTGAGCATCCGCTGGACAGAGGCTCAGGGGACACTTGGCCTACAAAATCCTCCCAGTGGGCGGCATTTGGGAGGCCTGCTGGCTAGTGGGGAATATGAAGATGGAATTACTCTTTTCTGTTCTCTTTTCTCTTTCTTTCTTTCTGATTTCATTTATTTATTTTATTTTAGAAAAGGGAGGAGGGACGACAGAGGGGCAGGGAGAGAGAGTCCCAAGCAGACTCTGCGCTGAGTGTGGAGCCCGACACAGGGCTCAGTCCCAGGATCCTGAGATCGTGACCTGAGCCAAAACCAAGAGTTGGACCCTCAACCGACTGAGCCACCCAGGCACCCTCTACTCTTTTCTTTTTCTTTCTTTCTTTCTTTCTTTCTTTCTTTCTTCTTTCTTTCTTTCTTTCTTTCTTTCTTCTTTCTTTCTTTCTTCTTTCTTCTTTCTTTCTTTTTTTGAAGATTTTATTTATTTATTCATGAGAGAGGCAGAGACACAAGCAGAGGGAGAAGCATGTTCCCTGCCGGGAGCCCGATGCAGGACTTGATCCCAGGACCCCAGGACCACGACCTGAGCCAAAGGCAGACGCTCAACCATTGAGCCACCCAGGTGTCCCTACTCTTTTCTTCCTTAAGGGAGAGTGACTTCCACATTGATCCCTCTGGCTTACGAAGTGGTGGGGGTCTTTCGTTGCTGCTTCCCTGACGTCTGGCTCCTAATAGAAAGGGGAAAGCATGTTTGCTTAGTAGATGCAAAAGTTTTGTTGGACATGTGAATACTTGGACAGTAAGGACGTTTGCCACCTGTGTGAGGCTGTGTTGAGCTAAAGACAGAAAGATATAGCGGTAATACCGTGGGAAGAGACAGACAGCCCCCACCCCAGCTCCATCTGGCTCTGTCACCAGCTGATTGGGTGACCTTGGCAAGTCACTTAGCTTCTTGATGCTTCAGCTTCTTTATTGGTAAAAACTAGACTAATAAAAATTAGACTAATAATACCTCTCTTGGTTGATCAGAGTAAGGCAGGAAATATGATTTTAGAAAATAGATGAGGGCTGCCTGGATGGCTCAGTGGTTGAGCATCTGCCTTTGGCTTCAGTCCTGACCCCTGTGGGATGGAGCCTCACATCGGGTTCCGTGCAGGGAGCCTGCTTCTCCCTCTGCCTGTGTCTCTGCCTTTCTCTGTGTCTCTCATGAATAAATAAATGAAATCTTAAAAAAAAAAAGAAAATAGATGGTAAAATGTTGTACACAATGGCCATGTGGGCGCTGGTTGTTGATAGTCTATGAATTTGACGCCTTCTGGGAGAAGGAGAAGCCTGGACACACTTCTCTCTGCCCTCTGAAGCTGCATTAAATAAAACCCAGCTCAGATCTGCTCAGCCTCTAGGGCTCCCCTCCTCTGAGCTACCTTCAAATGCTGCATCATTCTTAACCTGGCCATAGGGATAGTAGGTTGTGACGCCTCAGAAGTGACCTGTTCCCTAGGGTGGGGACCCAGCAGTGAACCAGACACCCTGTTTGTAATCATGCCCTGGACATTGGCTAGTAACCAAGCAGACCAGGCAGAGAAAATAATGAGGAGCCCTCACGGTGCACAGGACTTTACAGGTAGTGGTGTTTGCACTCACACACCACCCTTTCAGTTTGGAGACCTTTGTTTAAGTTAAACGAAGTGGCTTGGACCTCCGCTCATTAGAGTAGTCATATGTTTCCTATTCATTGGAAAACAAAATGCATTAAGAAAGGATTTTTTTTTTTTAAAGATTTATTTGTTTTTTTGACATTGCGTGAGAGAAAGAACATGAATAGGGAGAGCGCAGAGGGAGAGGGAGAAGCAGACTCCCCGCTGAGCAGGGAGCCCAACACAGGGCTTGAGCCCGGAACTCTGAGATCCTGACTTGAGCCAAAGGCAGATGCTTAACTGACTGAGGCTTCCAGGTACCCCAAGAAAGGAACTTTTATTTTTTATTTCTATTTTTTAAAAAATATTTTATTTATTTATTCATGAGACACACACACACAGCGGCAGAGACATAGGCAGAGGGAGAAGCAGGCTCTACACCGGGAGCCCGACCTGGGACTCGATCCTGGGACTCCAGGATCAGGCCCTGGGCTGAAGGCGGCACCAAACCGCTGAGCCACCCGGGCTGCCCTATTTTTATTTTTTAAAAGATTTGATTTATTTATTCATGAGACACACACACACAGAGGCAGAGACACAGGCAGAGGGAGAAGCAGGCTCCCTGTGGGGAACCTGATGCAAGACTTGATCTCAGGACCCTGGGATCCCAACCTGAGCCAAAGGCAGATGCTCAACCCCTGAGCCACTCAGTTGCCCCCAAGAAAAGAGCTTTTTTTTTTTAAAAAAAATTATTTTTATTTATTTATGATAGACAGAGAGAGAGAGAGAGGCAGAGACACAGGCAGAGGGAGAAGTAGGCTCCATGCAGGGAGCCCGACGTGGGACTCGATCCTGGGACTCCAGGATCGCACACTGGGCGAAAGGCAGGCACCAAACCGCTGAGCCACCCAGGGATCCCCAAGAAAGGAGCTTTTAAATGAGTTTGTAATTTATTAATCCCAACCAAAAAATATATATTTGAAAAAAATCAGGAGCACCTGGGTGCCTCAGTGGTTGAGCTCAGTGGGTTAAGTGTCTGCCTTGAGCTCAGGTCATGATCCTGGGGTCCTGAGATCCAGCCCCACTTCGGGTTCCCTGTTCACTGGGGAGTCTGCTTGACCTTCTCCTTCTGCCCTTGTCCCTCGCTGACACTCAAATTTCTGTGTCAAATGAATAAATAAAATCTTTAAAAAAAAAAAAAGAAAAGAGAAAGAAAATCATAGAGGATCCGGGTAAGATAAACAGCGTGTGTGCAGGGGGTTGAACAAAGCTAGGTGTGCCTGTGGTCCCAGGCCGCTCGCAGTACCGCTCAGCCCCACAAGGGGCCGCCGCCGACCTCCCTTACGGGGCTCCCCAGGGTCCTGCCCAGGTGTTAGGGGGAGCTGCAGGTGGGGGAGGCCTGGGGAGGGAGATGGGGAATGGAAAGCTGCCCCTTTCCATTCCTAGGCAGAGAAATGGACTGCCACCTGCAGACCAGGTGACCCAGCCTGCGCTCCTATAAACCAACTTTTCTTGCCTCACTTTGTGCTGTTTCCTGGGCTGGGCTGGGCTGGGAGGGGCCCTCCCCTCCAAGTTACCTGGTAGGGGAGTGAGTGTCTATGTGAGTGGCTGATGGGAACAGGCAGGTGAAACCTATGAGTAGCCAAACCCTGTGTACAAGAATTAATAATATAAATTTTTTTTTACGATTTTTAAAATTTAATTAAGACACAGACAGAGCGAGAGAGAGAGAGAGAGAGAGAGCACAAGCAGGGGGAGTGGCAGGCAAAGGGAGAGGGAGAAGCAGGCTCTCCGCGGAGCAGGGAGCCTGGTGCAGGACTGGATCTCAGCACCCTGGGATCATGATCCCAGCCAAAGGCAGACGCTCAACTGACTCAGCCACCCAGGTGCCTCAAGAATGAATAATATTGACCTGCCCAATTTTTCTCAACTTTGTGCATGGACCCAGAAGGCATATAGGTGACCAGGGATCCATCGCATCCTGGGTAGGAAGCATGGTGACTGCTGGTAGGGTGGCCAGACCCGGCCTGACCCCGTAGATCTGTGCTCTGGGGCACTCTGGTTACTCCTCCAAGACTCACCTGCAAGGGGAGGTAACTCATGTTGTCACCTGTGCCTGTTGTAAGGAGTAGGAGATTCCCGTGTGAGAAGAGGCACCAAAGTCCCACTTTCAGTACCCGCCCCCCTCCACCCGAGATAATCAGAACCGAGGACCCAGGCTGTAGAACTTGGCAGAAAGGAGAAATCCCAAGCCATAAAAGTAGCCCATCTGGCCCCATCCTGAAGAGGCCGCTCTCTGATGGACCCAGATCCTAAAATGTCACTGGTATTGCACACTGACCGGAGAGGCAGGTGAGGGCAGGCACCTGGGTTCCCAGGGTCCAAGGTCATTGTGGGGACCCGAGTGCTGAGCCGGGGAGTCCTGGGGGTGAGGCAGGGCAGCCCGGAGCAGCAGCTCACGCCTTTCATCCACTCGATTGCCCCTTTGTTCGTTCAGTTGACCTTTCTGGAGGGGCCACAGCATGCCAGGCAGCGTACCAGGCTGCAGGCCCACCACCGTGAGCAGGCCGCGCAGGGCACCTGCAGTCTGGCGGGGAGCCCAGAGTCCGGGAAGGAGCCTCTGGATTTGAGCCTCTCCTGTTCTGGTTGCTTATCCCCCATTTCTGATTTGAAGAACAAAATAAGGCCCAGGTCGCCACAAAAGACTTTTTTCCCCCTTTTTTATTTTTTTATTTTTATTTTTTTAAGATTTATTTATTTATTTGTTTGTTTGTTTGTTTATTTATTTATGATAGACATAGAGAGAGAGAGGCAGAGACACAGGCAGAGGGAGAAGCAGGCTCCATGCCGGGAGCCCGACGCGGGATTCGATCCCGGGACTCCAGGATCACGCCCTGGGCCAAAGGCAGGCGCTAAACTGCTGAGCCACCCAGGGATCCCCCTTCCCCCCTTTTTTAAAGCACTGTAGAATGAACTCAATACTTATTTTTTGATATGTTTTAAAATATATGAGATATGTTTTATTTTATTTTTTTTTTTAAATTTTTTTTATTTATTTATAATAGGCACACAGTGAGAGAGAGAGAGGCAGAGACACAGGCAGAGGGAGAAACAGGCTCCATGCACCGGGAGCCCGACGTGGGATTCGATCCCGGGTCTCCAGGATTGCGCCCTGGGCCAAAGGCAGGCGCCAAACCGCTGCGCCACCCAGGGATCCCTTTTTTTTTTTTTTTTAAATTTTTTTTATTTGAGATATGTTTTAAATATAAAGATGATGTAAAATTGGAGCTAACCTCGGTGAGAAACTGAAGGAAGACTTTTCCTGGGTGGAGGGGACATCGGGAGAATCTCGCCACGACATTCCCACACACCTGCCCCTGTGCACTCTTCCTGGGGCCGCTGGTGTTGTCTGCTGGACAGAGCTGTTCTTTTTTTTTTTTTTTAGTTAATTAATTAATTAATTATTTAAAGATTTTATTTCATTATCCATGAGACACACACAGAGGCAGAGACATAGGCAGAAGGAGAAGCAGGCTCCCTGTGGGGAGCCTGATGCGGGACCCGATCCCAGGACCCTGGAGGCAGATGCTCCACCACTGAGCCACCCAGGCCCCCTCATGCTGGTTCTCATGGGGCTTTTACTCACCCACACAGCTATCCATTCCACAAGTGATTCTGGGTCACTGGTGACCATGGGGCCCAGCGCTGGGTGTGAGCAGGATAAGTTTGTCACAACTGCTGCTCTCCAGGGACCCTCTGTCTTGCAGACAGACAGACAGGTGCCCTGACTGCAGGCCGAGGCATGTGAGCGTTCCGGGGGCAGGCAGGGAGGTCTCAGACTTCCCTCCTACGGGTCATGGGATGTGAGTCAGGCCTTGAAGGGAAGGTAGGATTTTAACACGTGGGGGAGTGGAAGGGAGGCATCCCACAGGCCTCTCGGAGCCTGTAATATGCGAAGCAAGACAAGAGGACATTGAGGAATCTAGGGGAGAGCTCTGCAGGTGCAGGGGAGGGACAGAGGGTGACAGGTTGGAAAAAGCTGCTGGGCCAGGTAGAGAGGCTTGCACACCCCGCTGAAGAGCTGGAATGTTCTTTTTTGGGCATTGGGGAACCATTGACAGTTCCTGAGCCCAGGCCTGAGAAGACCAGAGCAAACCTGAGGAAGTAATGTGGCGTAGTACCAACAATGAATTAGAAGTCGGGGAGCGGAGAATGGGGAAAGGAGGCCAGTTAAGAGGACAAGAAGTTGTGACAATGGTCAGAGTGTGCTGGAAGCAAGGTTGTGGCCGTGGGAGAAACAGTGAGCGAATTCAGTGATACGGTGCAGGAAGGACCTGAGGACTTGGCAACTATGGACAAGCGGTGGAGACTGAGGGGTGTACTAGATGCTTCCAGGGTTCCAAGCCTAAGGGACTGGTAGGATGGTGGCTCTGGTGACCAACATGGAAGAGCCAGGAGGAGAGATGCCAGGGAAAAGGAAGGTGGTAAAGTGTGTCTAAACATCTCAAGTCCCTCATCGCTTCATGCTGAAAATGGGAATGTTCCATGGGGGAAAGATGTGGGGGTGTGGCCATCAGGTGCACTTCGGTAGTTTGTGCCCTGGGCTCACTGCTCACTGCACAACTCCAGGGGGCGTTGTTCTGTTAGACTCTGGTGGAAATGACGCTGTCTGGAGTGGGACCACCTGGTGGGACCCCTGTTGGGTTGGGGGTTGGACATTTACTTGAGCTGAGAAGGAATCATATGCTGTTGGAGCTCTTGCTTCTGTTTGTGACTCATCGTGATCTTCCTCCTCTTGCAGTTATCGTCTGTGTGACCCTTCTGAGCAGAAGCTATATGGAAAGTCACCGCTCTTTGGGCAATATTTTGTTCTGGAAAATCCAGGGGCAATCAAAGTAGCAGACCCTGTGTACCTACTGGGCCAATGATGGGAATCATGTCCTGGAAGATCAGATACCTTTAAAAAAATGTCCTCAAAAACACCAACACTGGAAGCACAGTTCTGGAACTGACACCTCAGCACTTTCCTTAGGTCTGTGACTTCAGGTTTTTTGTCTTTCGGACGTCCTTGTGCCTCAGTGTTCCCCAGTGTCTTTGCACAGGGTGAAGAAATACAGTCTTGATAACTTAAGAGGACTTCAGTAAGTCATTTAAGTGACAAGACAAAATTCTAAAAATCCCTTGTGTAACTACGACTGTGGGTTTCATTTTCCTTCTTTTCCATTTAGCCATCCAGAGGGCTAACCTCCCTCATCTCAATACCACTCTGTAGGGAAAGAGAAGAGAAGAGCAAGGGGAAAAGTGGGCAAGAGAGAAGAATGTTCTGGAAGAATGCGATGGGAATGAACTAGCTCCCCAAATAAGGCCTAGAGTGTCACATCACTCTTCTCCTCGGGCCCTAGACTAGCTTTTGAGAAGCCTGACCTTCAGGAAACGCTTGAGATGTTACTTTTCCATAGATCACCTGGGATCTGACCCTCTTGCATCTCAGACAATGTCCCTGAGGGTTTGATGGATTCTTCATAGCACACGGTGTTTCTGGGCTGGAGAATGGCAGACAGGTTAGGGTAGAAAGTCAACTCATGAGAGCAGCGTTGTTGTCAGACTCTGATATGGAACGTGTGACAAGCAAGACGCAAACTTCCTCACCTTGAGACAAAATATCAGATACATCTTGGTTTTCCAACATAAGACAGTGGGCAGTAGCGCTAGCGAGGGGAAGACTGCTAGTTCCATGTTGTCTGAGGTGCCCTTTAATATCCCCCAGGGAAATGATGGCGTCCCCTTGGCAGAGGAGCAAAAAGAAGCCAACTGGAGAGCATGCCACCTAGTGGTGTTGACTGATAGCTCAGCCCATGCTGTGGAAAAGATTGAAAAAAATACTGTGGATGGGTTTTAATTTTCCATTCCTGAATTTTTTTTTTTATAGAAGTGAGGGGTACCCCCTCCAGGTGCTCTTTGCTTCTCAGTTATAGGTATTTTATTTCCTAAAAGCTCTCAGAAGGGTGGCTGTGCTGTCACAAAGCCCTCCAGGATCCTTGCTGGGCCCGTCAACTCATGACTGGGTACGCCTCTTCACATTCGGGGTGAGAAAGTTCTAGAGTCCATGGATGAGAAGCAATGTGATTTTGTGATCTGAAATAAACCACCGAAAACCTTTCAAAGGAGAAAAGGAAAGCATGTTCTAGTTCATTAAAAACCAGTATCGAATCTTTCTACTGATCCAATGATTTAACTCTAAGATCTGATGAGCCATTTGGCATTTTGTTCTTAGGAAGCTGACCAAATCATGAAAAAATGTTCCCAAACTGTAAGTAAATGGAAGCTACTTTGACTAGTTTCAGATCTTACTAACTTCTTGGCACAGAAATCAGACTCTGAGGCTGACTGATGTGAACGGGCAATAATTCTGCTACCTGACCAGGGCCCGGGCTCTTACAAATGGACCTGCTCATACACGGCTTCCCCAGGCGAACACCCATCTTTGACGGGCTGTCAAGTGAACATGCTTTTTACCAAAAGCCGTGCATTTTCCACATCGGGTTTATAAAAGAGGATAGTAATCATTGGAATCTAGCCGAGCTCTGAGGTAACATTAGAAGTTAACAGGTGCACACGTCTATGTTTTCTGGTTGGCGGATGATCGCAGTATGTTTTCCGCACACATGGTGTGAAGTGGAGAATGAAAACGATTAATCGGGTGATCTGGCCCATCACCTTCCCTGATAAATCCACTTTATGCTGAAACTACAGATGACTTGAAGCAAAAATAAGAGTTCAGCGAGTCACGTTTCTAATGGGACTTTGGGAACCCATGACAGGATGCACACAGGATTTAAGAAACTGTGTGAATATTGACTCTGAGGGTGGCCAGTGGTTAGGCACCGGTGAGAAACCCAAGGTTGTTTTGGTGGCTGTTCCCAGAGATTTGTAATCAGTGGCCAGATGAATGCCTTGGACCCAAATTTCTAACCCTTTGTGAATAGTAACATTGACTTCCCCGGTGACCCATTTGGTGTCAAAGGCCATACTTCCTGCAGACCCTGTCATTGTCATGCAGAGGGGGTTCCCCAGACACCATCATTTGTCGAGAGTCCCCTTCTGCCCCTCAGAATGTGAGGAAGATTCCTGTCTGGACAGAGAAGTTCCAATGACCTCTAGAATCTCAGAGCAGTTGCCAAGCTTTCCGTCAGCGAGATTTAAAAGCCATTTACTTGTGTTTATTTTATATTTAATGAGTTGGTTCATGCCAAAGCCCGGGCTGATGTCTCGTTCGTTTATTTTGGATATTGAACATTTGCACACAATTCCACTTGAAATATAGGATCGGGAATATAGACAGTCTCAGACTCTCAGAAAGGTCTTACGGCTTGTGGGTGATGGACATTCGAGGTCAAGCCAAAATATCCACTCTTGATGGGTGTTGTGTTTCATTCTGGGTGGCAACTTTGTGCTGTAATCACAGCAGAGAGTTACCAACCAGGAGCTGGAGATCCTGAAAAGAAAACTGTGAGAAAGGCTCTGTCGGGCAGACTGCTCCAAGGCTCACTTTCATGGCTTTTCCACAGAGAAAGTTGGAGCTTCACAACCAGGAGACAGAGCAACGACTTCTACACACAAGGTCAGAAAAGAATCAGATTAGGCCCGACGGAAATCCGGCAGTTGTGTGGCAATGAGAGATCCTCCTGTCTTTCTGCCCTTAGAGCTGTGGGGGCAAGGTGAGGAGGTGTGCTTGTTGGGGGCTGCCAATTTGGTAAGAGTATGTGGAGGCCAGGCCAGCTTGTGACTTTGGGAAACTATCTGTGAGGCTGTCACCGACAGCGATGGCAGGCCGGAGCTCCTGGCATGTGTCCCCAGAATTCCGATAGTGTCACAAATTGGAGCGGTCCTTGATGGTGGAGAGCAGGTGGTCAAGAGTCACTCAAATGGCTGGAGTGCCTCTCACACCAGGCTTCGATTGTAGGTCTAACCCGGGGGTTGGTGCTCTACCCTAATACTACACTTCCCTAGGTTTTGTTGGTCCCTGAAATTCTGGAACTTTGCCTAAAAAAGATCCATGGACCAATAACTCTGGGAAGTCCTTCAGGCCTCTCTTTAGGATTTCTTCAAAGGCCTAGCAACTCACTGGAGGCTTGGGACCTGCACTGAAGAGTTCTGTTTAACACTGCCCTTCCCCAAACTCATATCTGATGCCCTCCTGAGAAACGTGTTCTGACCCCCAGATCTCTAGAGGGAGCACCAGCCAGGGGCAAGGAGTCACGATGAGCAAGAGTGGTGCCCCCATGAGAAGGCTGAAGAAGTTAAAAGAGCCCCCAACCACATGAAGGAGACCTCTCTTGGGATGCTTCCTCTTGTCTTATCCCTGGTCCCTGGACTGAGGCTTAAAAGGTTAAAAAAGGAGGTGTGGCGAGAGCGTCTTAGACCAGCTCTCTTCTCATGGGCCTTGGGGAGATGCATTCCTTTTCCTGTGACTCATTTTCCAAACCTGCATTCATGGGTGGATAGGGTGGTGGATCAGGGTTGAGGGGGTGGACACAGACTCTAGCCTTGGCCTCACAACAGCACCACACTAGTTCTCTAGGATGCTTTATGCACCAGGGAGGGGCACTATCTTCCCATCTGTTAGCTTTTCCTTTCCCTTGTGACTTGTCAACTAGAATTGCTCCCCACTACATTCAGCAGGACGACTGCAGGGGTCCTATTGCCCCTGCCCATACAAATATACTCACTTTATCCCACGATCTTACATTTGGAAGAACAGTGTTTGCTTCTACCACTTTCTTAGAAATGGACAAGTGAGTTATGATAGTGTCTGAAGTTGCCCAATTTCAAGCAAGAGGAAGAATTTGGTCGAAGGATTCAACAAGTGCTCTTGGAATTGGGATAATAGAAGTGTACCTGAGGTATCCCTTTGTCTGCTTTGCCTGTACTCTATGCAGAGGAAGGGGCCTAGGCAGCAGCTCTGACGGTGATCCTGTCCTCCCTCAAAACAAAGCTGATAGGGGACCGGCCATCTGGTCCCGTCCTCTTTGGCCTAGCTCAGAAAGAGGAGTTGCCCTAACCACATTATTAGTCATCCTGGACAGGCTGTATTAACCAAAGGGCCTGAGAAGTATCTTCTCATCTAGCTTCTTCCAAGCCTGATTTGGATGGGTAGGTCAAGTTCACTCACGTTGGCTATTGACCAACCTAATCTACTCACCCTTTGTGGTCCTTGGTCATGTTCCCTTACCCTCAGAGAGCGTTCTAGACTGCTCTTCCTCCTACCTCCCTCATGAAACCCACGGCCCCTGACTCTTTCCCTTCATTTCCTGCTCTATGCCTTCTCCCAATTCCCGACCCGTATTCCAGACTCCGGTTCTGGTAGTACCCTGTGGGATGGAAGTCAAGGCTCACTTCTCTCTCTCTCTCTCTGTCTCTCTTTGGGATTTGCTGGGAGTATTGTAAATAAAGTATTGTCGTAATTATTTCTGATTAATATTTTTACACCTGATGAAGTTTCAAAGGGATGGGGTTTACTTGGCCTAGGGGAGGGGCACCTTCCAGATGACTTGCCCAGCAATTAAAGCGGCTTGTTAGTTGGAGGCCCAGGATGGCCGAGGACAGCTGGAGAGCTCTTCTCTGCAAGCAGCTCTGGTTAACATCAACCGGGAAAGCTCTTTGTAAACACATGAATAATTGATCGTCCGGCGCTCACATAGCTACTGAGGATCTGAGCCTGTATGACTCATTTGCAAGCCATTCCTGTCGTCTGGATGCCATAACATTGGAGGAATGATGATGGTTTCTTGGAGATTCTTCTGTGGCCAGAGTTGCCAAGACCAAGGCTGTAATGGTTTGTTATGATGACCTTTGTTATTCCATTAGGCTCAATTGCTTTAAAAAATGATGTGTGCATACTTTAGGAACGTTTTTACCCTTTACGTTGACCTGACATCATAGTTTATATTACAAAATGTATTAATGACAGAGGAGTGTTTTCATGTCCCAAGGACAAATTTTAACAACCATAATCTGCCCTTAGTCATCATAAATATAAATGTATTGGTCAAACAGATCTCGTTAATGTGGCCAAGATAAATGCAAGTCTATATTTTAAGGCATTTGAAGTTCTAGAGAATAGTTGGAGCTTTTTGTGGGGCTAAGAGATCTTGTATATGTGCTATCAAAAGGCTGAGAAAATTAACATGCTTCCCCCTCTGGTTTTTCCTTGGACAGATATAAACGTCTTGGGGATGTCAAGTAAGATTGTTCACATAGTTTCTGGACTCCGTTAATGCTTGGTGGGGTGAAGCTTAGTTCTTAAAGCTGTATTCTTTTCATGATGCTCGCAGTGCTTCTGAAAAGAACAAAATAAAGATTTCAAGACTTAGCAATGTGTTGCTCAACCACATTTTCCTGTATTACACGGTGCCTTGAAGTTTTAATTATATTAGTGCCCCCTGCCCCACCAGCTCGCTTCCTGTAGGAGGAGCCCCTTTTCAGCAGATGTGTGGCTGACATTTTGCAATCTATATGCTGGCAGATGGTGTTCTGGGCATGGGCTGGAGGACCGGGCGAACCTTTGTCTTCCTCTCCATTACACTGCGCTCACAAGCATGGGCCGTTGCTGGTGGTGTCCACATTTTAAGCTTCTCAGGCAGAAAATAAATCCTTGTTTAGAATCCCTTTTAGCCGTGTTCTTATTTTGAACCATGACAATGTGCTGAAGGCAGCAATGCCTCAACTGCTACTCTGTGAGAGAGCAGACTGCAGGGTGAGGTGGTCTCCCATAAATATGGTAAACCCGGTGCCATAATTAAACTCTGGATTGTGATCACCAGACTGGCAATGACGGGTGAATGCTTCAAATAAAACCATTTGCGCTTCTTCCCTTAGAAGCATCTTCTAAGAAGAATTTTTTCCATTCTGAATCTGTAATGGCTTTTGGCAGCACCACATGTTGGGCTTTGGAATCATGATTTTGCCTCGATATCCTCTCTGGGATTGGGGATTGAATGATTTTCTAAATTTGAGGGTGTAGAGATAGTTCTTTTGATAATCTCCTCTGTGGTTTAAACCTTTTGATCCATTTAGAGAGTGAGGCACATACACCCAGGTTCATAGCAGCGCTCTTCACGATGGCCAACAGGGGGAAGCAACCCAAGTGTCTGACGATAGATGAATGGAATAAGCAAGAGGTAATAGATGTACAGAATGGAATGTTATTCAGCCTTAAAAAGGAAGGAGATTTTGGCCCATGCTGCTGCATTGAAGACATGATGCTAAGTGAAATAAGTCAGCCACAAAGGGACAAATACTGTATGATTCCAATCAGAAGAGATACCTCCCTGACTATAGTCAGACAGACTCAGAAGCAGACAGTAGAATGATGGCTTCTGGGACCTCGGGGAGGAGGCATGGGAGTGTTACTCTTTTTTTTTTAATTTTTATTTATTTATGATAGTCACAGATTGAGAGAGAGAGGCAGAGACACAGGCAGAGGGAGAAGCAGGCTCCATGCACCGGGAGCCCGACGTGGGATTCGATCCCGGGTCTCCAGGATCGCGCCCTGGGTCAAAGGCAGGCGCCAAACCGCTGCGCCACCCAGGGATCCCGGGAGTGTTACTCTTTACCGGGGACACAGTTTCAGTTTTGTAGGATTTATTTTTTTTAAGATTTTATTTATTTATTCATAGAGATCGAGAGAGAGAGAGAGAGAGAGAGAGAGAGAGAGAGAGAGAGAGAGAGAGAGAGGCAGAGACACAGGCAGAGGGAGAAGCAGGCTCCATGCAGGGAGCCTGACGTGGGACTCGATCCAAGGTCTCCAGGATCACGCCCTGGGCTGCAGGCGGCGCTAAACCGCTGCGCCACCGGGGCTGCCCAGTTTTGTAGGATTTAAAGAGTTCTGGAGATGGATGGTCGTGATGATTGCACAGCGGTGTGAATGTATTTAATATCACTGACCTATACACTTCAAAGTGGCTAAGAGAGTAAATTCGAAGTGATGTGTATTTTGCCACAATTAAAAAATAGCAATAAAAAAAGATAAAAAAGTGGGGCACATCAGAGACTTGGAGTTGATTTAATCCAATCTCCAAGGCCCCTTTTCTGGAAATAGCCTGCCTGTAATCACTGAGAGAACCCCACCCCCATCCAGAACATCAAGAACTCTTGCTGAGACTAAGAGAATAAGAAAGCAAAATGTACTGACTTTAAACTTTGAGCAAAGGTGAGATAATTTAACTTTGGACTTCCATTTTTTTTTTGTTTTAACTTTTTTGAACCTTAACTTGTTTGGGTTTTTTAAAGATTTTATTTATTTGTTTTAGAGAGAGAGCTTGCAAGTGGGGAGAGGGGCAGAGGGAGAGAAAGAATCTCAAGCAGACTCCACTGAGCACAAAGCCCGATGCAGGGCTCAATCTGATGACCCTGGCTGAGATCATGACCTGAGCCGAAATCAAGTCGGGTGCTCAACTGACTGAGCCACCCCAGCGCCCCTGGACGTTAACATGTAAGGGGATTTCGTTTTGAGCTTTGGAGTCCCTGATAATTTGATATTTTGAGAGGCATTAAGTTCTAATGTAGATCATCTGGCTGCTGGTGTTTTATTGTTCGGGTGCCTTTATGATACCATTGGGTATCACTGCCTAATTTCTTTCTTTCTTTTTAAGATGTCATTTATTTATTCATGAGAGACACACAGAGAGAGGCAGAGACACAGGCAGAGGGAGAAGCAGGCTCCCTACGGGGAGCCTGATGCGGGACTTGATTCCAGGACCCTGGGAAAACGACCTGAGCCAGAGGCAGACATTCCACCACTGAGCCACCCAGGCGCCCCATCACTGCCTAATTTCTAATAGGTTATGTTGGCTGATGAGGCTGGAAATAGATTGAGATGGAAAATAGAAGAGTCTACATGTTTTGTCTTGACTACAGAGAAGCCTTGAAGAACATAATGTACTGTACCGACCTAGCTCAGGAACTTAGAGGGCGAAAATCCATACTGCCTGCCCAGGAGGATCTGGAGGGGAGCTGTGGCTGGTGTTGGGAGGGGGGCGGCTGAAGATACTGTCCCACTTCCGGTTGACCACAGGCACAATGGGTAAACACGATGGAGTCCCAAGAACAAAAACAATTGAGGAATTTTGGGGCAGAGATAGTAACTTCCCAGCAATAAACTGCTTCAGTATTAAAATGGCACATAACCCTAAGGTACCAGAATGAAGGATGTTAATTCGTCCTGGCCCCTCTCTGTGTCTTCACACTGTCCTACTCAGGAGGGACCCGAGTGGCAAATTTGGGAGCAGTAGTTGAGCTCTGCCCCTCCTCCTCCACCTTTCTTCTTGGGCTCTGCTCATTTTCGAAGAACAGGGTCCTGGGCCTCTTTGAGCTGGGAGATGAGCTTGGTTGGGACCCAGCCCTGGTTGGGAGAAGCCTGCGGGTCTATCGAGTACTGCCTGAGGTTGTGTGGAGAAACTCAAACGCTGGGATTCAGCCTGAGAAATTCCATTGCTTCTATATTTCTAAACCACATCCTCCAAGCTAACTTTTATCAGTAATAAAATAGATATTTTGATCTAAAACAAGAGGATTTGTCTTTGATCTAAAACCACATCCACATTCTCATTATGCCTTCACATTTGTAGCATGTCATGAAGTCCTCAGAACACTGTTGCCCACGCTCGCTCTTTGATCTTCTGGCAACCCAGGGAGGTTGGATGGATGTGAAAGCTTTTGGTAAGCTGCTTTGGTGTCATAGTCACACGTATCTAATTGCCTAAGTCCTGTCAGTGAGCTTGGAAGAGATGAACTAACTTGCCTGTGTTGTAGGTGAAGGGCTAGAATTAGAACCCAAGGCTTCTGGCTTCGAATAATGTGCTCCTAAAGTATCTGTTAGCAAGAATACTTGCCAAGAAGGGTGGTATCTGCAACTGGACACTGGCTTAATCCCAGAATCTTGTTTTGAAACATCTGCTTTATGACTTCACGAAGGGACCTTTAGGATCAGTGTCCGTAAGCTCTAGTGTGTATGTAACTCACGTGGGAACCTTGATTAAAGTTGATATTCTTGTAGCTGACACCCAGAGAGGCCGATTGGGGTCCGCAGGGGGGCTAGGGATTCACATTTTTATACAGACCCAACTGTTCTAAACTCTTATCTGTTTTCTGTAGACCAAGTTCTCACAATCCTCACCCCACTTTAATGTGGGTGTGCTCCTTAATGGTGACACAGACTTGGATGATGGTTTACACTGATCCAAACACACAGAGGCCCTTCCAGCCCTCAGGGTACCCTAGGACCCCCTTCTGGATGCAGTGGCCTTGAAAGAGAGAGGATCTCGGAAGGCACCAAACCTACAGCCTGAGCCTCCAAGCAACCGAGTTAACTGCTACATCATTAACTCATCCTGAATTAATTCACCAGGAAGGGACAATGCTTGGGGCTTCAGTATTGCCTGTGTGTACATGGATGCATGGGGGAGTAAACGAGAAAGTATGCTTTGTAAGAATATTTGCTTCTTTTTTTAAATCAATTAGTGCCTTTCAATGAATCAACAAATAAGGAGGAGGCCCCAAATACAGCATTAACAATGTAAAGAGTATGGGAGCCGATGGTATGGTTTAAAAAAATATTTAAAGACAAGGTGAGGATTAGGAATGCTGATGAGTAATTGCTACATTCTCTAAGGGCACAGGGAGATGCTGTGAGCCTACTGGTTTTTCTCTCTTTCTACCTCCCAGCCGAGCTTCAGAGGAAACTCCACGTGAACTGGAAAAGATGAATTTCAAGCTTCATTGAGAGCTCTAAAACCTTAAATCCTTCTTGAAAATAACCTGCCTCTCAGGAATCTTTTGTCCCCCCCCCCCCCCAAATTATAAAGCTTTTTCCTTGGGCTGTGGAATGGCGGCATTATTAACTATGATTACTTAAGTCTCTGAATAGAAGGATGTAATAAATCTGAAAGTATTTGTTCTGGTTTGTGACTAAGCAAAACTGTATAATATTAAATCAGATGTTGTTATAAACATATGAAATAGCACATTTTTTTCCTAACAGGGCATTATGGCATGAGGCTTCTGGGAATCTTAAAAAAAAAATGTTTTTACATTCTTGGATCTTGAGATTGGCTTCTGCTAGGTTTTCTTCTTTCTGAGCACAGATGCCATCTAATAGTGCTTCTGTTTAGATCTCCGTTTTCACAGTGAGTTAGGGAGGTTGAGTAGAGGTGTTCTTACTTCTTTGCAGGCTATTTTCTGGGGTCGAATTGGTGACCCAGGCTCTGTGTGTGTGTGCGTCCATGTGTGCCTGTCGAGCGGAGAAGATGAATGGCATCCGAGTACCCTGGAATGTTTGGGTTGGAAGGGCTCTTAGACACAAACTAGTTCACC